GCTCGCCCTCCTCCTCCGCCTCCCCCTGCTGCTCCTGCCACCGCCCACTGGTGAGTGCCGCGGGGCCGGGGGCGCGAGGAGGTGTGCGTGCAACGGGTGTGGGGTACACATGCGACGGGGCACAGGGACGAGTACGGGATGGGATGTAGGAGTGCACATGAACGGACATGGGAACATGGGGTGCATGTGCAATGGGGCACAGGGATGCACATTAATGGGGCACAGGAGTGCTTGTGCAATAGGAATGAGGTACACATGCAATGGGGTGCAGGGTGCATGTGCCGTGGGGCATGGGGCGTGCGTATGCAATGAGTAGGAGGTCTGCATGCTGTGGGGCGTGGGGTGTGTGTGCAGTGGGGCACAGGGTGCTCGTGTAGTGGGGCACAGGGCTGTGCTTTCGATGGGTATGAGGTACACGAGCAATGGGATGTGGGGTGTGCACACAATGGGGCAGGGGGTGGGTGAGAATAGAGCACAGGGGTGTGTGTGCAGTGGGGCGCAGTGTCCACCTACTATGGGATGCAGGATGCACATGCAATGGGACATGGTGAGTCTGTGCAACAAGGGATGGGTTGCGCATGCAGTGGGGTTTGGGGTACATATGCAACAAGGCACAGAGGTGTGCCTAGTTGGGTGTGGGATGTGTGTGCAATGGGGCAGGAGGTGCACGTGCAATAGGGCACAAGGTGCATGTGTGATGGAACACAGAGACGTGTGTGCAATGGGGTGTTTGCATAATGGGGCATGGCGATGCATGTGCAGAGGGTACCAGATGCCTATGCAATGGGGCACAAGGATGTGTGTGCAGTGGGGCATGATGATAAGCATGACGTGGGGCATGGAGATAAATGTGCAGTGGGGCACGGAGGTGTGTGTGCCAGGAGGACGCAGGCAGTGCACATGCAGTGGAACGTCCGGGGGGGCAGATGCATGGGCAGTGGGTCCGGGAGGCTGCAGACGCAGCGGGTCCCCAGGGCAGAGGGCTGCGCTCATGCAGTGGGGCAGCGGGGATGGACAGCACGCAGAGAGGGGGATGTGCGCGCAGCAAGGCATCGGGATATGTGGGAGGGACACCAGCGGGACTATGTGAGGCAACGAGCGTGCTATGGGGCACGGGAGCTGGCTTAGAGACGGGGCTCGGGGGGGTACACGAGGGTGTGGAGGGGGCATCCCCTGGGAGGGGGGGAGCCCCTAGGGGGCGGCGTGGGGTGGGTATGGGAGCTGTCCGCGGTGCTGACCGCCGGCCGCGGCTTGGGGCTGCGGTCCCGGAGCGGGGGGTCCCGCGGCTCCATCTGCTGGTCTGGGGCAGAGGGGCACTTGCTTTCCCCACTCTATGGATAGGAAATCCCGCTCCGTCCTCCAGCACCCTCCCCTGTGCTCTGGCCACACCACCACGGTGCTTCAGTCTGACCCTCTCCCTGCAGCCGGCTCTCCCTGCCTTGCCCCGGGCGAGTGGGCACGGGGAACCACGCTAGGACTGGGAGGCTCCAAGTGTTTTCCCCCATGCCATCTCCTGGAGTTGCGTTCAACATCCCCTCCTCCCTGGAGTCCCCTGCCAGGTCATTGTGCCCATGTGGGGAGGGGAGCTGTGGAGTGGCTTGGTGGTTCATGGTGTGGAAATTGGGATTGAGTGCTCTTGCACTGAGACAGGTATTTCATGCCTGGCTTGTGTTGGCTGGCAGCAAAGGGGAGGGGGAGCTGCCTTTGTTCCAGGCAAGAGAGCAGATGCATGTCAGTGTACAGCCAGTTGGGGCTGCACACATGCAGCACAAACACATGTGCACACTCCCAGACAGGTGCACACTGTGCAAAGCAGCCCTTCTTCTCAGCTATCCCACTCCCCACTGGACGAGTCCTCCTGGGCACAGCCCTGCTCCCAGCCCATCCTCTGCTGTCATCCCCCTTGCCAGCAGCTTGTAGGGAGGTGCATCTCATCCTTGGTGCATCTCTAGGGAATAATAGATGGGTCACCCAGGCTGGCACTGGGGAAGTGTGGCAATGGTAGGGTGAAGTTACAGCTGCTGTCTGGAGACCAGGTCTCCCTTGTCTCTACTGTGCCAAGGAAGTGTCTGCCTCTCTGCTGTTGGGACTCCTGGAAATCCCTGGAAATCAAACTGTTGGACAGTTGGGCAGGGAGATGTGGCCCCAGCGAGTGCTGTGGGCTTGCAGGAAGTGTCTTGCAGACATGGGGCTGTGCACAGCCATGCATGCCCATGCATGTGGGTGTGCATGCCTCCACTTTGCCGTGCACACCATGCAGACAGCACCCAAGTGTGCATATGTGCACACATATGTGCACCATTTCTCCTCCGCAAATCACGGGAGAGCTGGGGGGCTGTGCAGGAAGTGCACTGCTTGCTCCTTCTTCTCATGGCTCTAGGGTGGGACTCTGTGGTTTATGATGGGCTCTGTGCTGAGCCTCCTCGGCAGGCAGAGAAGGGGGAAATCTGTGTGTCCCTGTGGGAGCTGACCTGTTTGGGCAGAGCTGGAGCCATGAGGAATGGCCCTTTATTACAGGTAAAATGCAGGGAGCAGGTCTTCACTGAAGAGGGCGATGAATTGAAAGAGGTGGGCTGCACCTGGACAGAGCCTGAGCAGCTAGGGCCGAGGGCCCCTCAGGCTCCAGAGGATGAGTGCCCACAGCTCCAGGAACTGGGCTTGAGGCAATGTTGAACCAGGCACGATGATGCAGACTGTGCCAGGGCTGGGAGACGCAGCTGGGACAGCTGACATCAGCCCTGGGAACACACTGAAATGGCACAGCCCCAGCCACTCCTGCCTCTGGGCTGCTTGTTTTGGGGCATGTTCAGATCCTGGGTGGGCCTGGTCTGGGAGGGGTGCTGCACCCCCCCAGCTCCCCACCCTACTGAGAGCCCCTTGGGTCTCCTCTGCAGATGGGCTGTTCGTGACTGACTACTTCACCAGCACACCACGCAAGCTCAGCCCCTTCCGCTCCTTTGCCAGCATCGAGCTCTTCCACTTCCACATCCCTGAGGACACAGTCATCGCTGTCTGGAACCTCATCACCTTCAAGGAGCAGGGTGGCACCTTTGGGGACCAATGCCCTGACCGTAGCATCACCGTGTGAGTAAGCAGCCTGCCCTGTCTGTTCCCTTCCTGCCTGCCTCTGCCTGCCCCTGCCTGCCCCTGCTGCCCCCTGCCTGGACTTGCCTTGGAGCCTGCCCGTCTGCTTCTTGCTTGCATATGCATATGTGCATGTATGTACATGCATGCACACATACAGAGGGACACTCATGCATACACATGCACACAGGCATGTAGATGTGGTGCTTAGCAACATGGTTTAGTGGTGGACTTGGCAGTGCTAGGTTAATGGTTGGACTTGATCTTAAAGGTCTTTTCCAACCTAAACGATTCTATGATTCTGTGATATATGCACATACATTCACACACACACACACATGTGCACACACTCACTCCCCATGATTCATCTTCCCAGGACCATTGCAGGCTCCATGCTTTTGTGCATCTTGTATATGAACAGTTTTGCTTGAACACCCACCCAAGGAAGCTCACAATCTCCAGCAAGGTCCCAGCTTACAGACGGCTTCTCCATCATGTCTTTGAGCTTCCTAATAGCATGGAGGACAGACCTCCATGTGTAGGGCAGGCTGGCCCTGCCACGAGGCCCAGCCTGTGCCCTGCTAATTGCTGTCTCTCCTGCAGGTATTTCCGCTCAGGGGCTCCCTCTGTCATTAACCCGCTGCACAAGCACTTCCCCAGGGACACGGCTGTCCCTGGCTCCTTTGCACTGACCCTCACCTGGACCCTGCCCAACCGCACCACGGGGGTATTCAATGTCACCAGCCCACTGCCTGGGGACTGGTTCCTGGCTGCCCACCTGCCCAAAGATGAGGGCAAGATCTCTGTCAAGGTGAAGGGCTTGAGGGGACCATGGAGTGGCAGGGCTCGCTGCAGGGCTCTGCTGGGGCCTGACTGTTCTGGGCTGGCAGTGCCTGGGGCAGGTGTCCCAAGTGGGGCACATGGGGGGCAGGAGAACTACAAGATCTCTTGGTGGGGGTCCTGGGCACATCCGTATGGAGGGCACCTGGGCAGACTGCACTCCAACCCCTTGCTGCGGTGTGGGGTCAGCAGCTGGGGGATGGTGGCTCTGTGTGACTGGTCCCCCCCTGCCCCATGCTGACTGTTCTGCTGGTGCAGGGGCTCTATGAGGAGTGCCAGTATCTCTTCCAGCCACAGCTCATTGTGCAGCGCCTGATGAACATTGCCGTGCTGTACCCCGGTTACATCCC